TATAACATACCTATACCTTTTGTTATATGCACTACCGTCCAAGAAGAAGATGTGTTGCAGATTAATCTGAATTAGTATAGTTTTCTGTACTGACGAAAATTTTCTATTTATTATACTATATGACTATATCAATTTTTTTGTACATTAATAATTATAATCACAAATTGAAAAATGAATGTTTTTCGGTAATTTGATTTAGGACAAAAATAATATAATTTTTGAATTAGTTTATAAATTAGTTCATAACGTATGTATATGTTATATTTAGCTTGAATAGAAAATTAATTTGAAGAATACACTTTTTGTATACTCATTGCATTATATATTCATAGAAAGTTTACTAATACACCAGGTTTGTAGTTAGCACAACTTTATATGCAAGTCAAGAACATAATTCTTACGATTAACAGTAATTAGACATTCTCTGTTTAGTCAAACTTATAGTTTAAGTAATTATACTTGTTAAGTAATTCATTTCTTAATTCACGTTACTTTATGAAAATTTTAAATGACTTGAAATATCATAAGTAAACTTGAACTTCTATATTTATATTAAATTTAATTTAAAAGGATTTGATTATGACTTATTTATAATTTTGTAATTAAAATGACAAACTATATATTACTAACAAGTTCTTAATCTTTAAAAAGATTTTAACAGTGGATCATTATTTAGGACTATTTGTCGTCAACTTTGGCTTGTTAGTTAAGAAACACTTTAATTAAGGGGCGTTTAAATTTTGTTCTCATATGTTATAGTACATGTGATAGCTAATTTTGTCCTACAACGGAAAAACATACATTCAAGTGCAGAATAAATCAAACAGAAAAATGAAAAAAAAACACTTCCACAGCACCTAAAATTTCAGTAATATTGCCAACATTACCTCAATAATGCTATTATTTCTGCAATGTTTACTAAAAAATTTCATTTTTAAAGTTTTTTAACATTTTTTAAAAATTAATTTCTTTTTTATTACAAATTTCTAATTTAAAAGATAATAAATATAGATATAATAAATAAATATAATAATATAATATATTATATAACAGCAGCAAAATAGAAATACATCTAAATTAGATATTATAATAAAAAATAAGTTATTGTGCTTAATTTTGTAAAACTTTATATAAAAAAACAGTCTATTTCACAAATTTTTTTTCTTTTAAGGAGGTTATAGGGATTGACTAAACTAATCAAAACTGCTAGAAACCATTATTTTATGACTTGAGTTGTTAGGTACTTTGAAATTTTTAAACAGATAAGACTCAATGTTAATTGTTAAAAAACAAAAACGCTCAAAACTTTTTTCACAAGAACTTAGAGGTCTCAAAAATTTAGCTACATAATTTTCAAACATTTATCTAATAGTGGACCAAGTTTTATTAAATGTTTAATGTTAATTCTATTCCCGCTATAATCTCATTCCTTAATGAAAAACACATTTCCCATTGTGTTTTGGGTACAACGCACTGTCCGCTACATATGTCTATAGTGATACCTATAGGGAATTTCAAGTTGTTCACGGAAAAAAAGGAATTGCTTACAGATGCTAACTGATGTTTGCTATCAGATCTATCAAAATTATAGTAACCACAACTAAATTTTTTACTACATGACAATGAAGAAGTTTGCTATGATAAACAATATCAGTCTTAATTTTTAAAAATTTACTGTCACAGCAAATTTGTTCGCTGCCTCTATATTAGCTAACGTAATTTGATGTGACAGCAAATAATTCGTTTTTATTGAATATTTTCGATGTAATGAAGACTTAAACATCAATTGTTTGTATATTGAGAGTTGATCCTCTTGTGTGCATATTTTTATATCAAACTTTTAAAAACATAACCTATAATATTTTGCTTCTATATAAGGTTCCATTCTTCAGATTACATATATTTTAAATATTAGTAACCATTTTTAAAAGATGCTTTTTATATAATATATAAGATTCAACCACCTGTCGCAACTTAATTTCCCTCTTTAAATATAATAATAGAAAGATATTATTAAAGCTTTCTCTTTTAAACTTTGATGAGATAAAATATACGATATTAATGTACTTAAAAACGATATTCTAAATATAAGAATATATATCCTTATTAAATGAATCTATTTTTGATTATATACCTTGTTAAAAAAAGTTATCTCCTGTACCTACATATATGTATATTTTATATTATGAAGTATATACATATAGGTATATAGCCATTTCAAACAAAATCTTTTTACAATACATAAGAAGATAAAAAAACAAATAATTAGTGACAGAACAATTAATTATTTAATGAATAAAGATAAACTTATATTATAAATAATTTTTATTTGCTCACAACATTTTATATACAATTTATTTTATTCAAGTAAAATATTGTAATAATTATTATATTTTCTTTAAAAAGAAAAGAAGAAAAGAAAAGAAGAAAATAAAATAACAATATTGTAATATTAATAAAAATATAAAAATATTTTAAATGTAAAATGTATATTTCTATTATTAAAATATTAAGAATGCATTTTTTTAATTTTAAATAATATCCAAGAATGTATTCTTAAATTTATAACTAATCATTTTTCAATGCAATTATTCTCCAGCATAATTATTGTTAAATGCGGCTCATACTGAATATGAATCACTTTATTTTCTGCATAGTCTTGATTGAAAAGCACTGAATAAAGTATTCAATGAATTCACAAATGAGTTCATTGAGCTGGAAATAGTACAGATATATTAATTTTTCAATTTTGTTAAATTTTCAATTTATACATTTATCATTATTAATGAATATTGTATATTTTTGAATGGAAGTTTAAATTGTTAAATGATATTATTCTTTGGATATTTTTAAAGATAACAATTTAGTTTAAGTGAGAGAATTTTGTAGGTGAAAAAATTGTTTTGCCGTATATTTCTTAAAAAAAAAATTTTGGTAAATATTTTAACCCTATTCCTAATTTAATTAGTCTTTTAAAAACTGTTTACTTATTTAATTTTTTGTTTTTAATTAATATTAGGGTGATTCTCCCAGAACATTACTTTTGCATGTCTTCATATTTATCTCAATATTTATAATAATTAATGAAATTGTCAATGCATATTTTATTAGTTTATTATTTTTTCTAAAAATCCTAGAAGAAAGATTTGTATATTTTATTAATTTAATGTACTTTTTTAAATATTTTAATTCAAAAAATTAGGTTAATTGGCCTGTCCTATGGCTACTTTTAATTCCTTCAACACTTAAAAAAAATATTTACAACTTAAAAATCAGTAATAAATCAATATTTTCTGAAAGCTATGAGGTTGTAAAACATTTCTCAAAAATATAAATAAAATCGGACTTATATATTTTTACAATAAAGTTATCATCTACGAACATAATAATGCATTTCAAGTTAGCAAAAAATCAATTATTGCTTGTTTCAGGTTACAATTGAATACACTATCAATTGTTTTTATATTCTTAGTGAAAAATAAACTTATAAATATTAAAATTTTCTCTTTTCGTAAGTATTTTGAAATCTATTAGATCTTCTGTACAATAGTAAAAATACTACATATCAAGGTTCAAAAATGATAAATCTTTCAGAGCTTAATTTGATTCAATGCTTTAGAGTATAAGAAATTAATTTTTTTTTTATTTCCATCTAACCAAAATGAATGTTTGTGGAGAATCACCCATTAATATTATTTAAATATAGTTTAAAAATAAATTTTATTAAAAAATTAAAATTATTTCATTTTTAAATTGAAACATAAGGATTTTAATATTTTATACTTAACCGATCAATTGTTTAAAAAACTATTTTTTGAAAAAGGAACCTGATTTTTGTAATACACCATACTTTATTTCTTAAACCGGGTTTTCTTTAAATTAAACGATATTTTAAAATAAACTAGTTTTTTTAAGGAGGTTATAGCGGAAATAGAATTAACATTAAAACATTTAATAAAACTTGGTCCACTATTAGATAAATGTTTGAAAATTATGTAGCTAAATTTTTGAGACCTCTAGGGTCTTGTGAAAAAAGTTATGAGCGTTTTTGTTTTTTAACAATTAACATTGAGTTTTATGGAAATTGAGTATTTTTTCATACATATTTACTCACCACAAATTAATTAACATTAGGAAATTGATGAAACATTTTTTAATACAAAACAGATATATAATGATATATAATTTTTTATATCTGTTAGTCGGAGACTTTATTTCTGAAAAATGTTATATGCTATCTGTAAAGAATTCACTGAAAAAAATATTACAAAAATGAAAATATATACAAAACAGATTATACTGTTATTGTTTGAAACCAATCGAAATCAAAGTCTATTTATTAAATGTATATACATAATATGCGAGCAGACGATCGAAGTATTAAGTGTAAAGTCATGTGACAATAAGTAAATGTTCGATTTTGCGACTGGACTATAACTTAGAACTTTGGAAACAGGTGATATCAGCAGACGCTGAAAAGTTTGTTGGTCGTTGTGCTGTGTTATAAATCGAAGGCCTTTGAATAAATAATAATGCAAAAGTGCAATTATCCGGTTTCTCTATATCTATACAACAGAACCACAAAGCATTGACTGTCACACTTACAATGAATTCTATGATTGATTATTTGATTTCCAGAAAGAATTGCCTTTCTCTAATAAATATTAATCAAGTGTCTACCTATTTTAAATTCTCTATCCACGAATCTGAATCAATTCATTTCTGGAGTAAATGCTTATATTTTATTCTTCTTTCTAATCACTGGAGAAAAAATAAAAATATAATATACCCTACCCATACAAGTTTGCAGTAAATTTATATATCTTGTAAACTTTTGAAATCTAATGTATACACGTACAAGAAGGTGTTTTTTGGGTTTAAAAATTGAATTTTAAAATTGTAATAATTTGAAAAGCAGAAATATCTGTTAAAAATTTTTTAAAACTAATATTTTACACATTTGGAATTTTGATTAACAATGATATGCTGTTGATTTTCAGGGTCAGAAAATGGACGAGTTTCAGCTGAGAGTGAAGATGAAAGTGGAGGAAATGAAGCAGAAAGTATTGGCCAAGGTTCTTCCTTAGCAAACAGTACGAGTAGTTCTAACAACAAAGCACGTCGTCGAAGAACGGCATTTACTTCTGAACAGCTTCTTGAGCTTGAACGTGAGTTTCACGCAAAAAAATATCTCAGTCTCACTGAACGTTCACACATTGCTCACGCATTGAAGCTTTCCGAAGTGCAGGTGAAAATTTGGTTTCAAAATCGTCGTGCAAAATGGAAAAGAGTGAAAGCTGGTCTCACAAGTGGTGGTGCTGGTCCAACTAATCGACATTCCACAGGAGGTCAACATTCGAATTCTGGTCCAAGAATTGTTGTCCCCATCCCTGTTCACGTTAGTCGCTTAGCGGTTCGAGCTCATCATCATCATTTGGAAAAATGTCCTCAATCACAGTCGAGATCAACAAATGGTAATGTTACCAATACATCAGGACTTGGACATTTTGGAAATAGTTTATCTTCTAGAATTTCTTCTTCAACAATTTCCAATGGTACACCATTGAATCTTGGCTCAAATACACTTAGAGCATTTTCCACTCCACAACACACTAGTTCAGGAAGGTAGCCAGTGGCCTCATTGGATTATTAATTTATTTATCCCAACTATATAAATTTTTGTACTTATCTATAATATAAATCTACGATCCCAAAAATACGTTTTTATTACAGACAGCACACATTTACATCTCTTCAATTTTTGAGTAATAGTTATTTAATTTACCCACATATTTTTAACATATGATTTGTCAAAATCCATATATCTTTAATTATACGTTGAAAGTCTACACACAATGGACACAATAATTCACTAAAGACGGATATTCTGTTCAGTATCAGATATAAAGAGTTAACGAGCGACAGATTAATCGACGAAACATGTACTCCATGGAGATTCGCGTCAACCAACAAAGGGTGAAACGTCAAATACATATTCAGTGAATAACCGCGCCCATGGCTTTTGTATTTAATATAGAAACCTACAGAAAGATATATATATATCTTCATAATCAACTTTAAGCGGATTCTACAAAAAAATACAATTGGAGAAAATAAAAATAATATACAAGCTGTAAATGATAAATATAAACATTAAAAATGTTTACTGAAAATATATATTGAACATATAAGAAATATTTTCAATAAATGAGATACAATAAAACATTGTATTATAATTATGTAAAAAATGAATTTGAAGAAAATTGCTTGTAATTATGAAATTCAGATAAATGTTATACATTTTTTTTTATAGTTATTTCAAAAATAATTTATTTATGTTTCAGATTGTATTTTTTATTTTAAAATTTTCATATACATATGAGGCATTTTACGTGGAATGTCCTAAGTTGAAAAATTGATTTCTCCAAAAAAGTGAAACTTGGGAAAATTGTTGTCCTACCTGATAGTATAGAATATTCCAAAAAAAATTATTGACTTTTTTGAAATTTTTGGGTAGATAGAGGGAGGGGGGGTCAATTTTATCAGTTTTCCCTGACAGCGCCTATACTATTTGAAATTTTTGCCTGTCTATAAATGCAATAAAAAAATCTTTGTCAGTTATGTTTTTTGAAGGTTTTTTCATGCTCTTCCAATGGTGAATTATGTTTTTAAAAATTTTTGAGTTTTGACTTTGATTTTCTACACGGAGAGAAATAGATGGTAAGAACTTATGATCTTAAGATGGTAAAAAGTATAGATGTTATCCGGTACTATCAAAGATGTTACAAAAAATAATGTTACCCACTACGATCAAGACGTTACTCCGTACAATCTGGATTGTAACTGATAGAATCTAGATTGCTGTCCGTAAATGTAAAATCAAATATGGTACCTGGTACTATCTAGAAAGTACCCCGTACCATCTATTTCTTTCCGTTTATAATTGAACATAAATTTGCTATTTTCACTAAAATCGATGCTTTTTTTAAAAAAATAAATAGTTTCAAACGAAAGCTGATGAAAAAACCTATCAAGGAGGACAACAATTTTCTCAGGTTTCATTTTTTTCAAGAAATCAATTTTTCAACTTAAGACATTACACGTAAAATGACTCATATATATGTGACGCGCTCATGAAAAAAGTAAACTAAAAAAGTAAAAAACAAACGAATTGTAGGTTATGGTTTTATTCCTACCGAAAGTTTTTTATTTCTTATTTGTAATATAATTTTACAGTTCAGAATATAGAAAAATACAAAATTATAATTTTTTGTTGTCCAAATTATCTTTATTCTAAAGAAATTAATGTTGAGTAAGGCTGCTTCCACAATAGCTAAATCGTATCGTCTGGAAAACGATTCTTTTAGAACGAGACAATGCGCGCGCATCCATTGCCAACTGTCGACAAAAAATTTATTTTACTTGTTCCACAATTCTTACAATTTCAGGTTATAAATATTATTAAAATTATAAAAAAAATTTGTTTTGTTAAAGAAAATAAAAATTTTATATCCTCCCAGGTAAAATGTTTTATAATTTCACACAAGCCAAAAATTGGCAATGGATGCGCGCGCATCGTCTCGTTCTAAAAAATCGTCTTCAAGACGATACGATTTGGCTACTGTGAAAGCCAGCCTAACTTTCAGAAAATTTTTCTTAATTTTTTTTTATTTTACAACTTTACCGACTTTAAATAAAATAAGTATATTGCAACGACGAAACTCATTATAAAAACAGATTTTGTTATTTTGAAAACCTCACTTAAAAATTTCAAAACATAACCTATAATTTTTTTGCTTCTTCGACACCTTTCTTCAGGCGTCAGATATATATTTAATTATTAATTTTCGAAGACTAATACATCAGAAAATGACTTTACACCAAACAAGATATATTCGATAACAAACAAACAGTATTTGCATTTCGTTTGCATAAATGCATTTTTATTCGCACATATATAATAACGCACCCGCGTAAACATTCGCAGAAATAGACTTAAAATGCTATCAATTTTGATATTCAGATATACGTATAATCATATGGTTGGACACTTACTTTTTATTTTACAAATAAACTATACATATTCCTAATCAATTCTTGTAAATATCATCAATTTGTCATCAATTCGCGCACATATGTATGTAAATATGTGTCAATGCGCAAAAAATTGTGTTTAAAACAAAAATGTATGTATGCGAATTCCGTTCGATTTATGAGAATACGTATTTAGTTATTTAATTATTCTTTTTTAAATAATTTTCTCACTTAATTTTAATGTCAGTCCGTGCATCAGAAAATTTGTGCCATGCGCTTCAAATTCGGGGATGAAACACAATAATGATATTTTGTGTTCTATCATCGACGTGAGCCAAATCGTGAGTTATATATATATTATATCTACTAGAAAAAATCTACCTAGTCATCATCAAATTTTATAAATATACTTTTAGAGTTTGTTAATTTTTTAATACTTTAAAATAATTTTTCAAGAATGAAAAATATTTTATTTAACAAAAATGTTTCAGTTTTAATTGTACATATATATCAAAATGTATTAAATAAATTCATGTGTTTATATATACGTGAATTTATTAAAAATTCATTAAAAATGACTTTACTGTTATTGTATCACTGATGTTCGAGCACAACGTATAGCAAATAACTTTTCTTTTTAAAAAGAGTTTATACAATTTTAATTTTATTATTGAATTAAAAAATATTTACCGGTATTTAAAAAAATTGTAAAAGTTCACAATTATAAAGTATAAATGATATATGTATTATTTATTGTTATTTTATTATGTGTTTATTTTAAGAACGATAAATACATGAGAAATATATATATTTCAAGATAAACTTTCTTTTGTTTTCCTCTTTAAATCTTTTAACAATAATTATGTATTTATATTGTTCTGTATTTAAAAATAAGTTGTAATTGATTTTTGGATAAAATATACAGATGACCTTGGCGTAATGATAAATTTCAAGATTTCTTTCAAAATACATATTGTACTGATTTTGATACATTAAGGGGAGGAGGCACTACCTTTATTTTGAGTCCTTTAAATTTTAATGATGGCAGAGGAAGTTATATTTTTTTTCTTACATCATTTGACTTCAAAAAACACACAGAATGGTCAAGAAAACAAAATTTTAATTTTTGACCATTTTAGAATTTTTATTTTTTGAAAAAATTAAAATTTTTAAAAATCCATATGAGAGATTCTGAAGAATCATTAAAAAAGTGTGAAAAAAATTTGACGTTGAAAAATACTTAAAATTGTGAAAGAAGATATACATATTGAATAGGCGAGTGCAATGATGTTTTTAACTCATAATTTTCTTCTTTTTTTTTAAATATTAAAATTTTTAAAAATCCATACGACAGATTCTTAAGAATCAATAAAAAAGTGTGGAAAAAAATTGTCGATGAAAAATAGTCAAAATATTTAAAATATTAATTTTTTTAAGACTTTAATTTCTAAAATGGTCAAAAATTAAATTTTTTTTTTGCACTACTCCAAAAAGATTGTTCTTGGAAAAAAGCAAAAGTGATATCGGAAATATTTTTTTGTATAATAAAAGTTGAGAGATATTAAATCAACTTGTATATTTTTTTGCAATAGAACTTTTTATCAATAATATACAGGGTGATTTTTATGTTTCGGACCTCTAAAAAATTTTTTTTAATCTAATTTTTTTCGATTTTTAAACAAAAAAAAGTGGAATTAAAAAAAAAATTTAGAATCACCCTGTATACAAATAACGAAGTTAAATTAAATACAAGGAGTAAAAAGAGCATCATTACGCCCCGGTTTCTTCTATTGTATTATATATATAATTAAAAAATTTTAACTTGAACTCTTGTAGAGAACATATTGAAAACTCAACAAATATAATAGTGAATAACAAATATTTGTTGTGCGCAGACAATAAGAAGCTTAAATTCTTTGATAATAATTAAAATTATATATTTAAATAAATATTCACATACTATATATATATACATGTGTATGTGAATATTCATTTACATCAAACGTTATGTATGAAAGACACAATAAAAAAAATGAAATAAATTATTAGAATTTCAAGTTTAATATATATATATATTTTGTTCTTGTTTTATTTTTTGTTAAATTCCTCTGTTTATTCTTAAATATTTTTATGAATAAAAATTTTCTTAGTATTATATGAATGGGTATTCTGTTTTGAAGAGCATATGCCATTTTTTGAGGAAATCTAATACATTATAATATCAAGTGCGTGCGCGGCAAAGAAAAAAATATATATATACATATACAAGAAAAATGAACACGAAAACTTGTAAGATTATATAGTATATAATAATATAAAGGGCGTGAGCGTGCCCCCAGTAGTAGAAGTTTAAAACTTTTTTTTTGTTCAACAATGTGGCTATTTAGATAATTTGTCACTATTGAAAAATGCATGCGACAAGCCCCCTTCAGGATCCGTCCATCCTTTGTCGACTTTTTGACTCCTCTCATGGGATAAGTTCTATACGAGCAATAATGACACGAAAGGTGTTTATATGTATATGTATGTATTCTACAAACTATGAGGGAAGTTTTGTGCAAGGAACGACACGGATTTTTTTTTTTTTTTTGAAAGAGTGTATATATATCTAGTTTCAAAAGGATCCCGAAAACGAAGGCTGACATAAGGCCATATATACCTCGTGGGCGTGACGCACCATATGCGATAAAACTGTTAGGCTTTTTGACCAAGTATAATGCTCGTTATAATTCGGTAAAGCTAATTCGTTTATTTCGAATTCATATATATAAGGGCACTCGCAAACATAGATGTACCGGTATGAAATTTGCTTTGCATCATTGCGTATGTTATTTTATTTTTTTCAAAACCATTGTTACTTTTTAGCGCAGGTGCAGATATACATATTATAATTTCTACAGTGTTTTTTCTCGACTGTTGATATTTACAACATTGTTTCATTTTTGTTATCTATAACTGCCATTAAAAATAATAACTCAAAATATTAATTTTTAACAATAAAATCATGTAATTATTTGC